GGCGGGCGGCAGCGGAGGCAGCGCCGCAGCGCTGCCGGCCATAGACGAGGAGCAGGCGGCGGTGCTGGCGGTCACGCTGGAGTGCCAGCGGGAGGAGATCCAGGCGGCGGTGTTTGCCATGCCGCAGGGCTGCGGCACAGAGGTGCCGGCGCTGTTTGCGGCTGCTGTGCCGGAGGGCGCTCAGGAGGAGTGTGTGGAGCTGCTGGACGACAGCGAGGATGAGGGGGCCGACGCGCAGCAGCAGCAGCAGCGGCAGCGGCAGCGACCTGAGGTGGCGCAGCAGGAGCAACCGCCAGGCTGAGCGGCGGGCCGGCCGGAACCGGAACGCCCGCCTCAGATGCGCAGCTGGTACACCGCTGCGTCTCTGTTTGAGGCGCCGGCTGGGCTGTGTGCCGCTGCCGTGTAAACAAGTAACTTGATCACCCGCACACAGCCTATGGTTGCCATTACATTCAGCTGCCCCGGCCATGCCCAGTGGTGCGGGATCTGTCTAGGCGCGGCCGCTGCTAGGCGGGCCTGTCACGTGTCGCTCACTCTCTCGCTCGCTACCTAGTCCTGCCGCTGCCATGGCCTGGCGCGCGGCGCGGGCAGGAATTCCTCTGCAAGGGCCGCGCTGCCGGCTGCTGGCCGGCGCTGCTGGCCCCCGCTCCCGCGCGGGCCGCGCCCGCCGCGGTGCCGCGCGCCGCCCTGCCGGCCGCCCCTCCTCACTTGAGGTCCAGGCTGCAGCGTATGTTCATGGCCGCCAGCTCGCTGACCAGGTACTTGAACACGTAAGGCAGCGCCACTCGCTCCACATACTTGCCTGCGGGGCGGGCGGTGTGGCGGGGAGTGGGTGGCGGTGTGGCGGGGGGCGAGGATGAGCCGCGGGAAGCGGCGGCAGGCACAGAGGGAGGGACGGGGCCCGCTGGCGGAAGGTGAGACCTCAGGAGAGCGGCGGCCACCGGGCATGCCAAGGAGCAGGCGGCTTGGCGCGCGAAGCGTGCTCAGCGCACCTGTGGTGCACAGCCGGCACGTGGTGTTCCCGCGGCCGCCCGCCTCGCCGCTGGTGGCCCGCACCCCCATCGCGTCTGCACACAGCAGGCAGCGCCACACGCCCGCTCAGCCGGCAGCCGGACACCTCGACCCAACAGACTCGGGATGGCCGAACGCTCGCCATCCCCACCACAAACAACACAGCTCAACACAACAGCGCCGCAGCACACAACCGCCGCCAGCCACCACCATCATGCCGTGCCCCGCACCCGACGCCGCGTGCGGCACGTTGACGGCGCTGATGAGGAGGCCGCAGTTGGCGCACACATCCATGACGTGGTAGTCGGAGCAGGAGTGCAGCCTGGCGGATGACAACAGGTGGGGGTGTGGGGGGAGGGGAGGGGAGGCGAGAGGCCAGGGTCGGGCAGGCAGGCAGCAGGGACCACCAGACGCACCACGCCTGTGAGTCCCACACATGTTTATTCACACACCAGTGAAGACACAAGCACATACATCAGCGGCGTGTGCGCCCGGGCTGGACCCCTCCCCGCCCCCACCTGTCGTGCAGCAGGTAGGCGGCGCCGTGGGCCAGCAGCGAGTCGCGCTCCATCTCGCCAAACCGGATGCCGCCCCCAAACTTGCGCCCCTTGATGGGCTGCCGCGTGAGCGGGTTGATGGGGCCCGTGGAGCGCACCTGCGGCGGGGGCGGGGGCAGGCGGGAGGCAGGAGGCAGGAGGCGGCAGGGGTCCGTGGTAAAACACGGGGCGCCGACAAGGACCAGCTCGCGGCAGCCACGCCTGTTCCATCGTGGCCATTCAGGGCCCGTTTGGCTGCATGCTGGCGCGCCCTGCTGCTGCCGCAGCCGTGCGCCACGGCGCCTGCTCCTGGAAGGACGCATAGCGTGCCGTGCCGCCCCACCTGGAACTTGTCTGACACCATGTGTCGAAGGCGCTGGTAGTAGACCACACCAATGTAGATGTCCACAGGGAAGGGCTCGCCCGTCACCCCGCTCACCATCACCTGCGGCCGGGGGGGCGCGCGGTACATGTGCGGGTATGAGGATGGCGCATGTGCGTTTGTGTGTGAGGCGGGTGAGTTGGTGGGAAGGAGCCGAGGGGGCACGCATGCGGGCGGCGGCGTGGGGAGGCGGCGGCGAGGGCCAGCAGCAGGCAGCATCGCAGGCTGCCGGCAGCGTGGGCGCGAGCGGCGCCGCACCTCCCCTCCGTTGCGCGTGAACCCCGCCTCCTCCAGCAGCTGCCC